ACAATTTGACACTCTTGTTTATGGCGTCAGTAATCTCCCTAGGCTCTAGTCATGAGTTGCCAAGGCTATGGAAGCCTTTTGAGTTTGCTGACTTCGATCTTATTTAGACAAGGTCATAGTAAAGTGGAAGTTCTCTCCTCCCTTCAGAGAAAGGTACCTCCTTCTTTGATGGCCCATTCTTTCTACTGGGATCTCACTTGCGGAGATCTTTCATTTAGGTCCTCTTATTTTTTTTTATTTTCATTTTTTTTGCCAGTGTCTTGGCTTTCCATGCCTAAAATACTCTCATGGGCTCTTCAGCCATATCCGAATGCCTCAGGGCTGATTCTGAGGCCAGAGTGTTGTTCAGGACATCTGCCATTCTATGAGTCTGCTGTGTATCCCGCTTCCCTTGTTGGATCGTTCTCTCCCTTTTTGATTCTATCAGTCAGTATTAGCAGACACTAGTCTTGTTTGTGTGATCCCTTTGATTCTTAGACCTATCAGTGTGATCAATGAACTGAAATTGATCACTTGGACTAGTGAGATGGCATTGGTATATGCCACCTTGATGGGATTGTATTGGAATCCCTTGGCACATTTCTAACTCCACCATTTGGGGCAAGTCCGATACTAAGTACAAGTTCTAACCAAATAATATAAGTAATATTTCTAACTACTGGCCCATTGTTTTCTACTAACTCAGTTTGACATCACTCAAACTGAATATGTTCACTTCTTCACCTTTTATGAATTACTCAAGAAATCTGAGTTTCAGCCTTGGATTTGCCTTTAACTAGTTTTGTGACACTGGGAGAGTCAATTAACTTCTCTGGGTTTCGTGTTCTTAGCTATAAAATGGGGAGCATACCAGAAGACTTCTGGACTCTTCTACAATACTCAAATTTTATCATTAATGTCAGGGATCTGATTCTGTTCTAATTGTTCATAGTTTTAAATTAGTATCTACCATGTGTAGGCACTGTAGGGAATAAAACAGTTAATAGGCATACTGTTTGTGAAATATTTTTATGAACTAAAATATCCAGATTCAGATACTTTGTGCATAGGACTACATTGATTAGAAGTTAACCTCTTTTCAATTCCATCAGCAAAACTGTTATTTCTTTCTTGATATTCTATTATCAATAATTTTCCTATAAACTAATTCTTTCTAAACTCCAGTATCTCTAAATCACTCCCTTTTTCTAATCTGTGTTACCTATACTGATTTATAAATTAATTGTTCAAAATAAGAGCTCTCACTACTTCCTCCAAAGTGGTATTTTCAGTCTCTTGTTTAGGGGAAGCCTTTCATTTTTCAAAGGGAAAAAAATAATAACGATTTATGGGAACCTCAGGAAAAGATTTCAAGGAAAACTTAAGAAAAATGTTGTAGAAAAATATAACCATGCCTTGGTCAAGGCACGAAACGTTCAGAAAGGATTCTTTTCTTGGGCCAGCATCACACTCTGCAAATAGACTGCTGTCACCAACGTGATGCAAACAGTTGTGTAATGGAAGAACACCACTTCAAAAAAAACATAAATATGCTGGGTTCCCTTACATTTCTATAATGGAAATGTCATACATTTATTTGCCCAATTTACCTTTTGGGAAACTATTTAGGTAACTCAACTTTTTCTACTTCAGACAAACTTAGGTTCTCAACATTTTATACTTCAGACAAACTTAGAATTTGAGAGCTAAATCAAACTTCACAGATCCTCAACAGACTCATGTCGTGAGTAAGCCAACTGACAAAGAGTGGCTATAACACGTAGGGCACACAAGTTTAATGACATGATCTATTCTCTTCTCAATGTATTCGCAACATATTACGTTTGCCTGATATTTATTGAATTCTAATTTGTTTCTTTGAAATTTCAGAGGGCAAACTCTATCTTAATTAATATGAATTTAAAGAAGAATTCATGCTTACTATAAATATACACATTCTTGATGAGTGTAGGGATTGTGTTTGCCTTATTATATCATCAGAACTTACCAGAGTCTAGCACACAGAAGATACTTAGTAGACTGTTGTAGGATGGATGAATGATAGGGACCATAGCATTCTTAGTTTGTAACTTTCTTTTTTTCTTTCTTTTTTTTTTTTTTTTTTTGACAGGCAGAGAGAGAGAGAGAGAGAGAAAAGAGAGAGAGAGAAAGGTCTTCCTTCTGTTGGTTCACCCCCAAATGGCTGCCATGGCCGGTGCTGTGCTGATCTGAAGCCAGGAGTCAGGTGCTTCCTCATGGTCTCCCATGTGGGTGCAGGGCCCAAGGACTTGGGCCATCCTCCACTGGGGGCCACAGCAGAGAGCTGGACTGGAAGAAGAGCAACTGGGACAGAATCCGGTGCCCCAACTGGAACTAGAGCCTAGGGTGCCAGCGCCGCAGGTGGAGGATTAGCCTATTGAGCAGCGGCATAGATAATAAAATCTAAGTCCTTCACTTTAATTTTATTCACTTTATTATTTCAGATATTTTTCTTTAGGTTTCTCTCCAACTCCATTATAGTTCTTTTGATGAGGTAGTAAGAGTTTTGAATGAGGTTAGAAAGTTTTCCTTTTAAATAGCAAAAATAGCAAAATCTTTTCATAAGTGTAATTCTTTTACATTATCTTACATTGGCTAATGACAGCATTTATTCAATAGTTTTCTCCTAAATTGTGTAAGTACAATATGAATGCTGTTGGACTGGGATTTAAATAATCAGAAATTCTTGATTTTATTTATTCTTTTTCAATAAATTTTCCCTTCCACAAGAATTATAAAAATGTTAAACAAGACTAGATTTAGTACCTATTAATCTTTCTTACTCTATCCAGGACAGTCCATTAGTTTCCATAATTTCATTTCTTACATAGGAATAAATTATCTATATAATCAAACTTATTTGAGTGTCTAATATGTGCAAGTCATTGAACTCCTTTATTTTGGTTGGTATTAAAGGATTAGGTTTGGGAGTCATGAAAAGACACTTGCAAAAGTTCAAATAAAAAGCATGTTTAGATTTTCCACATGCATTGACTTATAGTCCTTCACTGTCCCTCTCACCCCATACATATCTTTCCTATAACCCTTAATAATTTTACCAAAATCCTTTTATTGGGAAATCCTAGATAATTGTCCTTCTATTCTCAGACATCCCTTCTGTCATGATGATGGACTCTAGAAAACTTATTTATTGATTTATATAAAGGGAACAGACTTCATGTATTTTATATACACAATTTTAAGAACATAATAACTTCTCACTCTTCTATCCTCCTTCCTCCTTTATTTTATTTTTAATTTTTTCTGATAACATACTGTTAATTTACTTTCTTAATCATCCACTAAATAAAGAATTCAACAAGTAGTAAGTAGAAAGACCACTGTTCCTCACGAGTATGGACAAGGGCTATAAACTCAAAGAGTATAAATTTTAAGATGTCAATTTTACTCATACATTTTTTTGTACTCTACACAGTAGTTATAACAAATCAAAGAAAACATATGATATTTGTCTTTTTGAGACTGATTTATTTCACTAAGTGTAATGGTCTCCACTTGCCTACACCGGATTGCACAAGACCAGATTTCACTCTTTTTTAATGGCAGAGTAGTATCCCATCATCTTATATATACCACATTTTCTTTATCTAGCCATCAGTTGAAGGACATCTGGATTGATTCCATATCTCAGCTATTGTGAATTGAGCTGCTATAAGTACGGGGATATAGATGACTGTTTTCATATGCTGATTTCATTTCTTTTGGGTAAATTCCCAGGAGTTTAATAGCTGGGTCATATGATAGACCTATTTTCAGATTCTTGAGGAATCCCCATACTGTCTTCCCTAATGGTTGCACTAATTGACATTTCCACCAACAATGCATTAGGGTATCTTTTTCTCTACATCATCACCAGCATTTATTAATTTTTGATTTTTGGATGAACAGCCATTCTAACTGGGATGAGGTAAAATCTTATTGTAGTTTTGGTTGCATTTCCTTGATGGTTAGTGATCCTGAGCATCTTTTCATCTGTCTGTTGGCTATTTGTATTTCATCCTTTGAAAAATACCTTTTCATATCCTCAGCCCATTTCTTAACTGGCTTGTTTGTTTTGTTGTTGCTGAGTTCCTTGAGCTCCTTATATACTCTGGATATTAGTCCTTTACCAGATGTATAGTTTGCAAATATTTTCTCCCATTCTGTCAGCTGCCTCTTCACTTTGCTGAGTGCTTCATTTGCAGTGCAGAAGCTTCTGAGCTTGATATATATCAAGCTAAGAATACTTTTTTTTAAGAAACCTTTTATTTAATGAGTATAAATTTCATAAGTACATCTTTAGGAATACAGTGTTTCTTCTTACCATACCTACCCGCCCATCCTCACTCCCTCCTCATTTCATTCTCCCTCTCTCCTTCCCAGTCCCATTCTCTTCCATTAAGATTTATTTTCAGTTAACTTTATACACAGAAGACCAACTCTATAGTAAGTAAAGCTTGCAACTATTTGCACATACACATACACAAAATATAAAAAAATTATTTAAGAACAAGTTTTACAGTTAAATCTCATAGTACAATTTATTTAGGACAGAGGTACTGCATGGGGAGTAAGTGCACAGTGACTCCTATTGTTAATTTAAAAATTAACACTTATGTATGACATCAGTGATCACCTGAAGCTCTTGCCTTAAGCTGCCAAGGCTATAGAAACCTTCTGAGTCCACACTCTCCATCAGATTTAGGCAAGGCCATAGGCAAAGTGGAAGTTCTCTCCTTCCTTCAGAGCAAAGTACATCCTTCTTTGATGGCCCCTTCAAGAAAACTTCTTTTATTCAATAATTCTGCTCTTGTTTTACATATGCTACGACAGAACTTAAAACTGGAAGGAATCTTAGGATTTCTAAATGTAGCTCCCACATATCAGCTTGACACTCACCAATGATAAAACATATCATTGTGGCCAAGGATAGTACTTAACCTCTTTGATATATAAGCATGTCTTATACAAATAATACTTACTTGTACTCATCATAGACTTCCTGTTTGGGCAGTGAAGTCTCAGGATGTTCCTCTAGGGTATTCCGAATCCAGGAAAAGGCATGCATTTGCTGTGCCCGACTAGATGACATGGCATTCTGATCACTAATCATAAAATAAAAACATGTCTTAGCTAAAGTAGACAGAAACTCATTGATAATTTTCGAGCCAAGCTTAAATATTCCACTAAAAAAACCTGCATGCAAACACAGTATAAATGAGCAGATTAAACTTAGGACATACAATAGTAGATGCCCAGAAATCTATATACAAATTGTCAACCTATGGTTAGGAGCCATTTTTCTACAGCTAGTGTCCAGCTGAAGTTACTGCCCTCTTCCAACTCTCCCCAGGACTTCTTAAGTGGCATAGGTGATGGTGCATTAACAACAAAAGATAATGGTTTTGGCCAAAATAACCTCTACATAGGTATCTATTTATTACTTGCCTATTCATTTGTTTATACTTGGCAAATTATCATATATTTGGAACAAAAATCATGAAAAAAAGCATTTGATTCTATATATTACACAGAAGTAACTATCCTGAAATCTCAATGAAGCGTCCTATCTCCAGAACAGAGTTCACATCATAGAGATTTTGAAGGTATAACTCCTCCCATTACAATTCTTCTTGCAATCAGGACCCTTGCCCCAAGCTAACATGTCCGCTAAACATCCTAACATTTCATTACATACATGTGTCATTTATAAACTGATCTCCAGAGAGCATGAAGGAAGCTGCACTGCTGACTTTAACACATTTCAGCTACCTATTTATTTAATTCTAAGGAAGATATTGAGAAAGTTTTGAGGATATAAAATAATTAAAATAGAGATAAAATTTGGTCAAGGGTAACAGAAGAAGGGTAAAACAATAGAATTTTAATTCCATTTCTTTTTATGCACAATTTTAAAATAATAGAATGTTAAGGATAACTTACTTGAATGAAATGAATCTTGAGAAATACTTAAAAGAGTAAGGAAACTCTTAAGAATGGAATGACTGAATGAATAACTTCTTTCTACATTTTCTAGATGAGCTTTAAATAATGATAAAATGAAGTAATTCCCTAAATATTTAAAACAACTTTTATCATGAGGTTATGTTCTATATTTGAGTAATTTCACTTTTTTCCCGGTATATATTCTGTTATACGCTTACCTGATAGCATCATAAAACTCTTGTACTTTAATCTTCACACACTTAACTGTCTATTCTTTGGTTTTCTGTTCAGTTTTCCAACCTGTTATTATGTATACACATATCCATATGTCTATAAAACATAACCCAAATTGCATTGTACAGCATTTACCCAAATACACCAATCAATTAGCAAAAACTGCAGGTAAGCACTTACCTAAATAAATATCATGAAAAACTAAAATGATCTATTGTTTAGCTATTTTGTTTTCTAATGATTCTAGGAATATTATAAAATGGTAACAACTTAAGAATATTAGAAAACAGTAAGAACCACAACACATACATACAAACATCCTATGGATGTCCTATAAACAATATAAATGCAGCAATGACAAGAACAGATACCTTTTCTCTCCATTGCTGAGACCAGAAGGCAGCTGAAGGTAGAGGTAGAGTTTCTCTAGGTCTGTAAACTTCTCAACTTCTTGCTGTTTACAAAGGATTAAAAGAGAAGATCATTTTTAAAAACACTTGTTTTCTTCCCAACAAAATTTACTAACATCTCCCTAAAAGAAATTGATTGTATAATTCAAACCAGATGAAATAAACCACCTGTCAAATAAAGAAATGTAGTTTTTAATCACTAAAATAATACGATTAAGTTGTTTGCTACATTCAGTGCATGCACAAAGCAAGTTACCAGAAAATGGTACTTCCCTATTAATTCCAATGGAGAGAAATGAAATCAGAGATCAATGCTAACACAAAGGAAGGTCTCTCTCTCTCCTTTTTTTTTTTTTTTTTTTTTTTTTTTTGGACAGGCAGAGTTAGACAGTGAGAGTGAGAGAGAGAGACAGAAAGGTCTTCCTTTCCGTTGGTTCACCCCCCCAAATGGCTGCTGTGGCCGGCGCGCTGCGCCAATCCAAAGCCAGGAGCCAGGTGCTTCCTCCTGGTCTCCCATGCGGGTGCAGGGTCTAAGCACTTGGGCCATCCTCCACTGCCCTCCAGGGCCACAGCAGAGAGCTGAACTGGAAGAGGGGCAACCGGGACAGAATCCGGCGCCCCAACCGGGACTAGAACCCTGGGTGCCGGCGCCGCAGGTGGAGGATTAGCCAAGTGAGCTGCGGCGCTGGCCAACAAAGGAAGATCCTAAAGGATTGTAGGACAAGCACTGTACCAGGAGTCAAGAGAAACATTTATTAGTATTAGCCTGATCATTAAGTTAACTTACTACAGCACTGGCAAAATTTCCTTACAGCTATAAAATGGATGAGACGATTTCTAGGATTTCTAGGATCCTATTCTGGTTCTCAGATCCCTGGGATATACGACCAATGATGTAACTCTTACTTGTGGATGGAACTTAAGTTAAAAATACTGAAATAAAACCAACAGCCCTTTAAGGACTATGCAGATATAATAACTTTTTTGACTTGGAACAGTGACTGCTATTTAGTGACTGCTATCTGTAATATTCTCTATTGTTATTATTTGCAGATATATAATTTTTTTCTACAAACATAACCTTTAAAATAATTTCTGCATTCCTCTTTGTAGATATTTTTTCTCCTGCTGAGGGTACCACATAACAGCTTCTAATGTGTCATAAATCCTATTATAATAAAAATATTTGTAGTAAAATTTTGATAGTCTAATTCAAGCAAAATTCCACTGCAGTGGAAAACATGGACAGATTACTGGAGGTCCTGGCGGCAGAGTTTATTCTTACTTCAAAAAGCTCAGGTGAAAGTTAGGTTCAATTTTTGAAAATGTTTAAAAGGATAAAATTCAGCCTATTCTTATTTTCGTTGGAATTCATTCACAAAAGTTTAATATTAGAACTCATCCACAGAATGACTTAACCTATCAGTTACATGCAAATAGCTCACACATCTACTTTAAAAATTCCATTGTCAATGTGTATTTTCCAATTAGGTCTTGCTCCAATAGATTTACCAATTACATCCTTTATAGAGTCTCTCTCAAAGAGTAAAAACAAACACACCGGAGACATTCCCTTCTCAGCTGTCACCTATCATCTTCTGTGCTCTAGTTTCCAGAACCTATAGTTTCGCGTTCTGCTTAATTCTGCTCTTTGTGGTGCATTCCACATTAATCCTTAGTTAGCCCTGTAACTCTCTGCCTCATATTCTTCTAGTCTCTTATTTTCACTGCCACACATTAGTCTAAGCTGTCTTTCTTTCAACAATAAAGAATTCACTTACTTATTTGCTTATTCAGTTTGTTTTCTCTCATGTCCCACAAATGAATGATATAAGCCAACTATGATCATATCACAAATATATAAGGTTGAACAATACAACACAATACATCACTTGCTCTTAAAAACTCATAATAATTCTTAAATTACTAGAATGCCTAAGTAGCTGGAGCTGGTTTCCCTGATCCAACCTCTCCCCGACTTTAAACTGTCTCAATATGGTTCCTAAAATGCTCTTTGTCAAATATTCACATCACCCTGTTAATCCCAACAATGCCTATCATACTAAATTCAGGAAGGTTATCTTATAATAATCATGCATATGTACTATTATGGCAAAGTCTGAGAAAATGTAATAAAGAACATTTTCAATGTCTAAATGTCTAAGAATAAAAAAACTCATAATACTGAAGAAAGCTGGGCATCTATAGTTTTCAAATTTCATATACACTAAGGAAAGGAATGCAGAAGAAATTTCAGAATAGGGAAGACATTTCAGAAGAAATTCCAAATTAGAATAAAGTATGAAAGCAAAGACTGAAGAGAGAGAGGATATAAAAAATTAGTTTGAGAAAGATCAAACTCAGCACCATATTTATTTCTTACCACTTAAATTAAAATTTATAAAGGTAACTATTGCTACATGGGTTTTAACATAGAGAAGAAATAATTCAGAGAATATCACTGAAACTAACATTAAAATTCTAAGATGAAAATGCAAACAAAATGACCTGAGTGTATGACGGCATTCTAGTCCAGCAATGCTGAGTTCATCATGAAGATTTCTGGTTTTTGATATACTTGTCATTCATTCACCATGAATCACAGGTTTCCAAGACAAAACTCAACAGTCTAAGTGAAAACCCTAGTGGTCATGTGGTAAGTATGCTAATCACTAGATTACTGAATATGCTTTGTGAATATTTAAGTGTCAAGAATAAAATTTTCTGCCCCATGTTGACATTCATTGGTGGTCAAAAATAAATATATTTGGCTGGATTTATGAAATGAAGGACAGTAGTGCTCTGTTTTTATAGCACCAGAGAAAAGACCAACTATATAGACTTTTAAAAAACAATAATTTTTAATACAGGCTACAACATGGATGAATCCTAAAAACATTACACCAAGTAGAAGAAGCCAGACACAAAAAGTCACATATTGTCTGATTCTATTTATTTGGAATATCCAAAACAGGCAAATCTATAGAGACAGAAAGCGTATCACTGGATGCCAGAGGTTTTAAGGGAGGTGAATATGATCCACTGTTTGCTTAATGGACAAAATTTCTTTCTGGAGTGAAGCAAATGCTTTGGAACTAGATTGGGGTGATAGCTGCACAATACTATGTGTACAAATTACCACTAATGGTAAATTTTACATTATATATATATTACATATATATTTCAAACTAATATAAATATATATTTATATTATATTTATTATAATTAAAAAAAAAACAGTTTTAACAGATCTTGCCTATTTAGTGGACATCTCTGAAGATCTGGCTCAATACTTCCAAGGACAAACACCAGTATCCCTATGCCCAGGGCTTAAAAGACTTAATTTTCTTGATTGAGGAAGTTCTAAATGCAAACTTATAAAAAGGACTTTCAACTTTAGGGAGAAGCTTGAATATTACCCAGACTGTTGAATGAACTAGGTGAAAATTTCATGCTATCAGTGTTGAAGGTCTTGCCTGAAAACTCATGTGAACCTCTTTATCATTTCCATCTTTTCACGAAGATACTATAAAGTAATCTGATTTTTTTCAATGTTAAAGATATTCTAGGAAACAATTTTGGAGAATTTTTGGTAAAACCTCATTGTTGATTCCCAAATTAGTGAGCAGACCTTGCTTTTATCATACCATTTTTATGAAAATAAATTACCAATACATTTATCCCTTAGCTTATAAAAAACAATGCAATGCTACAGATTTAATGTTGCAAATAACCTAAGAGGTGCTTTGATCTTTCACATTCTGGACAGAAAAACTTATAGCAAACAATCACATTGATGTGATGTGATTGAGGGACAACTACAGATATAATGCAAGACAGGCAGCAAGAGATTTCTTTTGGAGGCTCAAGGTGAACTTTGGTGTTTGAACCTTATTATTCAATCTTCCTTTCTGAAGCTTTGGTTGACCAAAACAAAACAAAACCACCACCACCAAAACAAAACAAACAATAAAAATCCCAACCCAAGGAACTAGTAGCAGCAGGGAACCATCTTCGTTCTATGAGGTCCAGGTCAAGTGGAGAAGAAGAGATGAGACAGAGACAGTGCTCATAAAATATTCCGACTGTTCCCGTTTATGGCACCTTGGAAGCCTGTGTTAGGCTACAGGTCAGTGTCCCTGTTGATGTGGGAACCTGCACAGTAGCCTCCAATGATTTCTGCTATATATATAATGGAACTTATACAATGAGAATAAATGATTCTAGTTATTTCAGGCTTACTATGTTACAGCAGCATAGCCTGGCCCATCTTGATTAATGCAGAAATTTAGACCTCTTTCCTCTAGTACAAACTGAAGATCCCTTTTATATAAGCAGACAACAATGTGGAAACAGGAAAAGGGCTCCTCCCTGAAAACACAAAATTTTTGATTCGGTTGAGAATACAGTATTTAAGTTACTTTAAAATTTCAAATGATATTAACTAAGAGTATATTTACATTTATCAACATGTGACATACGCTGTAAAGAGGGTGAGGAGCAGCATTTAGAATATTCAGCCTTCTGGCTCAAGTAATCGAGTTCCTGCCACCTACATGGGAGACCTACATTACATTCCCAGATCCAGGACCTGGTTAGTAACTGGTACTGAACCACGGCATGGAAGCTTTCTAATAAATAATAATAATAATCGCTTCTCGGCCTTTTGGCTAAGATCGAGTGAAATAATAATAATAATAATAATAACAACAACAAATAATAGCCTTCATGTTCTCTTCCACTTAAAAAAAAAACTGGGTAAAATCTCAACACTGATAACCTTTATACAGATGATTCTACTATACAACTATTTGTTCCTCTATGATGAGCCACAGTATTTCCTCAGGAAAGTGTTCAGCTTATAATTAGTTTGTCTATATTAATTGTATAAAAAGGTGTTCTCCAGTGTCTAACTAGAGTTATATCCCTCCTTCAACTGCACTGAAGATCCTCAATCTCAATCCCCCTTCAAAGCTACAATAGGGCCAGATGGGAAACCCTTTAAATATATTTAATACCCTACTTCACTTTTTAAAATTTAAAACTATAAACCATTTCAAAATAGGGGCTAACTTTTTATCACATTTTCCTCAGATACTCTTTATTTCTTTAACAGCATAGACAATACTAGATAGAACAAAAGCAGTTTGTTCATTTCCTTGACAGCTATTGCAAAGCTTCACTACTTAAAATAGTGATGCAATGAAAATCCTTATTTGTTAATCCTGTATCTTGTGTGAAAAAAAATTTAAGGTATGTAATGAAAAGTAGAAACATTTGGTCATAAAACGTTTAGCCTCACTTGCATATTTTAAGCTGCTAGCCAAAACTGTTATGCCAATTTATATTCCCAACAGCAACAATTTCTCCCTATCTTTATTAAAAGTATCAAATTTTAGCTAATTGTATTATTGTGAAAAAATTTCACATTGTTTTATTTCTCTGACTGATGATGACACTGCATATATTTTCATATTACTATCTGAGTTTAATATAGTGCCTCCAAATTTCAGTTTACTTGGAATCACATGGTCTCCTTAACTGGCTTTACCTGCAGAATTTCTCATTGCATAGATCTGGGTGGGAGCCTGGGAACCTGGATTTCTGACAAGTTCCCAGATGACTCTGTGGCTGCTAGTCAAAAAGATCACACTTGAAGAGCCAACTACTTGTGCTTATCTGTTGTGCATTTGAAATTAGGGATATTTACTGTGCTGTTTGTATATTAAATCCGCTAGTGGTTACAAAAGGTGCTAGTATCTTCTCCAAGCCATCAATATGCAATTGAGGTTAGAAAACATTTCTGACAGCAGTTATGCTAGTAGAGAGAAAGAAATTATTCTGAGCAGAATAGGTCAGAAATTAAAAACTTAATATTCCAACTGTCATAAAGAAATACCAGAAGCAGCCGGCGCCGTGGCTCACTAGGCTAATCCTCCACCTTGCGGCGCCGGCACACCGGGTTCTAGTCCCGGTTGGGGCGCCGGATTCTGTCCCGGTTGCCCCTCTTCCAGGCCAGCTCTCTGCTATGGCCAGGGAGTGCAGTGGAGGATGGCCCAGGTGCTTGGGCCCTGCACCCCATGGGAGACCAGGAAAAGCACCTGGCTCCTGGCTCCTGCCAGGATCAGCGCGGTGCGCCGGCTGCAGCGGCGGCCATTGGAGGGTGAACCAGCGGCAAAGGAAGACCTTTCTCTCTCTCTCTCTCTCTCTCACTGTCCACTCTGCCTGTCAAAAAAGAAAAAAAAAAAGAAAGAAAGAATACCAGAAGCAACACTTTACTTTTCAAACACTGAGTTAATTGCCTGCTCAGAACATCTGCTTCTGAACTGTCAATACAGACCAGATGGACTGTAGAGAACAGGTAGAATTTTGAATGTCTTATCACTAGAACTTAAAAGACCTTCAAGCAGATGGTAAGGAAGTATGTTCCCATTTACTGGCACAGAATACAGTTGAAAATGTCTATTATTTGAGAGGCAGAGTTAAGACAGTGAGAGGGAGAGACAGAGAGAAAGGTCTTCCTTCTGTTGGTTCACTCTCCAAATGGCTGCAACGGCCGGAGCTGCGTCAGTCAATCGGAAGCCAGGAGCCAGGTGCTTCTTCCTGGTCTCCCACATAGGTGCAGGGGCCCAAGCTCCTGGGCTGGCCATCCTCTACTGCTTTCCCAGTCGATAGCAGAGAGCTGGATTGGAAGAGGAGCAGCCGGAACTAGAACCGGAGCCCATATGGGATGCCAACACCGAAGGTGGAGGATTAACCCTCTGCACCACGCCACCGGCCCCTGGGGGGCTATCTTGAAAAAGAGAAGCCTCAGGCTTAAGCTATGACTTCTTAAATGTTAATAATAAAAAGTGACTTATGCTGTTTGCAAAATTTCTCTGTACTGACATGCTTCCCGTTCTGAGAATCTTTTCTCTCGAGTTTTATTCACGTCCTGACGCCTGCAACCAAGGTCACAAAATAGGGAAGAGCTGATGATTATAAAGACCATAACAATTAAAGCCATAACTCAGGATCTTTTATGAAAATCCTTGATGATGAAATTACTTCTGAGGATCATTATCTGTATTTCCAGAACAGCAGAAACTCATGGTGAGACTTATACACACCTTTCAAAGAACTGGCCAGGTTTGTATGCTTTAACTTAATTTTCTATTTAGAATAGTTGGCTTAAAATCCAGAAGCCTAAATTCCCCAGTTTAACTGTTCAGTTAATTTATCATTTGTGGAGTGAAAATAGTACAATCATGCTTGAATTTGTCTGCCCTCCATTTGGTAAACTTGCAAAACAAAACTTGAGAAAATCCTCATTTTTTTGCCCTCAGGTGACACTGATTGAGTAGCACAGTTACTGACACAACTCTTCTCTTCACCAGCATCACTGACAAAAGCACCAAAAGAGAAAGTAGAAACTTCATTCTGTAGCCGTTTTGAATTTACAGAAACAATCAACATACCTGATATTATATTCTCTTAGGCCTCAGCAGTTCCACAGGGTTGAACAAGGAAGACAGAGAAAAAGGTCAAGGTATGAGGACTTGGTTTGCCATGCTTTTTGCTTAGAATCTTAACTTCCAGCTTTCTGACTTGTTATGAGAACTGCAGGGGCTGACTCGGGCATGTTGTTGGAGGGCTATCTTCCACAAACAACAGGAGAGGAAACTGTTTTTCTATTTCTACTTCTAGACAACATATATGTCAAATGAAGAGAGTAATTTTGACTGTATTATTGTGAGGATTTCCTTTTCTATTTATAACCCTATTGAAATAGGTATAAAATGAAAACAGTCTAATTTTCTGTTCAGAATTCTCTGCTCTGAGATGAGCAATGTGATCCGAATGGACCTGAAACCCATCAGTTACTAGGGGTCACTGAAGGAAAGGCGAATCAAGGCTGACAAGCAGATCTCAGGAAGACTCCAGATTTGCTTCTCACTTTTTTTCTTTCTAATTCTTGCTGGACAACCTAGAGAGAATTGATGGCTTTCTTAAAACAAACAAACAAACAATAAAATCCCTTTGAACTTGCCTAAAGTATAATCAGGCCTGGAGCAATTCTGACATTAAAGAAGCCTTAGGGGACGTACCATATTATTAGCACTCACAAATTCACACTTGAAAAATAGATATGTAAGATAATTCTGAGTAGATTGTGTAAAATGTTGGGTAGGTTCTATACATGAAATTAGGAAAACATGAAATTATGAGAGAAGTTAGAGAGATTTTTTGAGAAGTGCTTCAAAATGTATTTTGACTTATTTGCCTGATTAAAAATTTGAGTCATAAGTTATGAGAATAAATCAAAGAATCAATCCAATAAAAAAATTCAAACTACAAGGGATTTTTAGGACTTATGATAAAAAAAATTAAGCTGAATCACTGAAACTGAAATAATGAATGACAAGGAAGGAAGTATCATAGTTATGTAAGTGCCAGTCACTAAAGACCAAATAATTGCTAGGACAGTGGCGTATTGCCAAAATACTCATATAGTAGGTACTAGGGTTGAAACAGGTAAAGAGTACACAAGCCAAAGATGTGAGTCCTTCTGAAACTGGATCCAAATAAGAGCCTTCTCTAGGGAGAACACTTCTTCCCTAATTAAATTCTACAAAAAGGGACCATCAGGTAACGTCTCTCTGGATGATTCAGGTGAGGCAAAGGTTCTTACTGATGTTTCTGTGTGATATGGGACAAGAGCACATGGTTTTGGGGGCTGGGGATGAAGGTATTAAAAAGGATAAGTAAGACTTAGTTGTTTCTAGTCACTGTGTTTTTTAAGTTTCCCAGCATGGAAAGAAGCGATGGTACCTGACAACCCAGTTGCCATTATACTTCTAAACTGGATTTCCACCTGATTCTTCCAGACTATAAAGCCACAGCTTTAACATGTAAGATGTAGCCCAGGGAGAATGAAAGCTCTTTAATTCCTTTCTGCATCCGGTAATCTTTCCTTCTTCCCTACAGTTTACTTTTTGCTATATTCAAAACAACTTGAAATGAAACAATGTTCAGAATACTGTGTGAGTTCATTTGTGAATCAGAGCACACTGTTGTGTATTATGCCATTTTTGCATATAAACATACTGATGAAAACCAAGTTTCTTCCAGGCAATAATAAGAGATAACCATCTTATTTTTTCCTATTCCTTTGTGAGACAATAAAGCAGCTTTGAAAGCCAGCTGATAATGGTTAGGACATTCCTTATGCATACAAAAGAGAAAAGTTACCACAACTCATGATTTGGGCCATAGTGGCAATTTGTTCATTTGAGTCCCTAACAGGAGAAAAACAAAACATTAATAACTGTACTTTCCTCCCATATCATGGGAAACTAAAATAACTCAATGGTTAATATAAAAGAAGGTCAAGAGTAAAAGGTTCAAAAACCTTTGAATGACACAGCCTTACATAGATTAGTTCATTTTGTGCTATTCAAAAGCAAAACAAAACCTGCTGCTTAAATTTGGACCTTTGGCCAAGTTCTCCCCACCCAAATAAATTCTGTACAAACAGGCTCCTGATTTTAGAAATTATCCATTTCTTCTTCAGCAGAAGATTCAGATGAAAAAGTCAGAATCTCTGTTAAGTCTTTACTAACAGTATCCCCAAGGCCATATCACAAGAAAAACCTGATTTTTCTAACCATGAACCTTTTTCAAGCCATGATATATTTTAATTAAGAGAATTTTTAGTTTTACTCAAGTGTGGGTCAGTATGTTGGCCATGAGCATTCATTATGGCAAGTCTGTGGGGTGAGAAAGCATACTTTCTCCTATAAAGGAACAAAGGGAAGAGGGGGAGTCTTTTCCAATTCCACACACCTCACACCTATTCCCTAAATGCTACAGTATCCATCTCTGGAGGCAGGAGACAAGGTGAGCCTCTGGTTAAGAATTACTTCTTGAGTGATTGATTGCTAGGAGTATGTCATCTTTCTCTGAAGGCCCCATTCTAATATCAGTTTGGATTTCAGGAAGCAGATATCCCATATCTTAATGTCCCAGACAGATTTTAGTTCCCATTCAATGACTTCAGCAGTAAGCACATTAAGAGAATAGGCTTCTGATTTTAAAACATTAACATGGGAGAGAATGGAAAAATTTTAAAAATTAAGAAAGATTATTCTTGATACATCCAGGATGAGTGTTTACTATGCTTTTTATGTTTGTAACAGGGACACACACAATAAACAAAATTTAGAAGTACAAGATTTTACATGATGAGAATAAATGCTATGAAGAAAAAGTATTGGGAGGGGGCACAATTTAAAACAGAATGGCCAACGAATATCTCATTGGAAAGTGAGAAGGCAAAATATTTTGCACAGTGGCTGACCTATAATAGACTCACAAAAGAGCAATCATTCTTTGTTACATTCTACTTTGGCTTTCTATTAACTGGCTGCTGTAATGGCTAGCCAGGATAAGAATAGACAATAAAGAGTCCTCATTACTATAGAAAAAAAATGGAGGCTTTCTTCTATCTATCCTTATATATAACTCATATATACTATTATGGCTCTACCAACCCTATTTAAAAAATGGCTCTTGGAAAAACCTGACCCTCACACCATACAACACAGAGGTTACAACCTCAAATACCAGACAGGTAATGCAAAGGAGTATAGAACATTAAAAAAAAAAAAACAAAAAACAAAAAACAAAAAAAAACACCACCAACAACAACAACAAAACAAATACATAGTACATCTATGATGTGGACTGCGACTGGAGAGTGCATGTTATATCTGAAAGTGGTGTCACTTAGGGTCCACCTCTCATGTAGCAATAGGGTTCAATGTGTAGTTTTCAAGAGAACCCAGATACTCCTAATTGTTTCTGTGTGTGTGTGTGTGCTCTCAGTTATGAAGTGTGGGAACCAATTCAAAACTTTAAAACGTCACCCTGAGCCGAAGAAAACAGCTTTGTGGTAAAGAGCTAGCCTGTGAACTTCCAGATTAACCACCCTGAACTATCTTCACAGTCAAGAGCTGATTCCCGGGGCTGGTGCTGTGGCATAGTGGGTAAAGCTGCCGCCTGCAGTGCTGGCATCCCATTTGGGTGTCAGTTTGTGTCCTGGCTGTTCCACTTCCCATCCAGCTCTCTGCTATGGTGTGGGAAAGCAGTAGAAGATGGCCCAAGTCCTTGGGCCCCTGCACCCGCGTGGAAGGCCAGGGAAGAAGTTTCTGGCTCCTGGCCCGGGTCTGTGCAGCTCCAGCCACTGCAGTCAATTGAGGAGTGAACCAGCGGATGGAGAACCTCTCTCTCTCTCTCTCTCTCTCTCTCTCTCTTTCTGCCTCTCCTTCTTTCTCTGTGTAACTCTTTCACATAAATAAATATTTTTTTAAAAAAAGAGCGGATTCCTTCCTGGGCCGTAAGTACCAAGGTGCTTGCTTTGCTGGACTAGCTTTGTTTTGTTATTACCATACAGTCCATCTCTGAACAGTCACATTTTTTAAAATCCAAGATCTCTAGAATATACAGTACTTATATATGGAGCAATTCATAACAATAAGATGCTACAAGACAAGATGAAATTATACAAGGCATGTTATATGCAGGGAAATATTCTCTATTACAATGTTTCAAATATGACCCTGGTGAGACTCAGGTAGTACGGAATTCCACACAGATAACCATGACAAATGAACAGAATTCTTACGCCTGAACTGCCTTATTTTGCCTGTTTCTAATGAACTTATGCTTCAGTAAATTGGTGTGTTTATAAGTGTAGTTAGTATCTCTGCTGTTATTCTCTTATTAGGTTTAGATTTTGTAATGGACAACTCATGTGTGCTCAGAAAGTTGTTCCTTAAGGTTTATATTATGGGCCTTTGGTGCCCACTAAAGTACAACAGATTTGGGGGGACATACTTAGTCTGTTAATTTTTTTCATTTTTCTAGGGAGGACAAATTCCATGCCAGTGGGGGTGGAAGGTAAAGAGCAGAGTCCCTAAAGGATTACTTAATCAGTATTCAGAGTCTAAGGTACAATAACACAGTGTCAAGTTTTCTTATACTCCCTTAAATAGGACCTCAGTGAGGGGTATCCCCTAGAGGGAACCAGCCTCACTAGTCAGTTATGTAAATGATGGCATCTGTCAGAGTTTTAGGAGTGAGACATTCTATAGCCTTCCAGAAGGAACAGAGATTCTGGCAACCCCACATCATTTTCAGTTCTCTCTCCTAATGACAGTCCTAAAGATCCACTTTTGGTCAATTCTCAGGACTAAACCCTACCCAAGAAGAGCTGACTTAAATAAAAAAGTCTGTAGACTCATCTGGCAGGGAATTCATTAGACCTGTTCAGTCAGAGACCAGATGAGTTTACTTCACCTTCTAGGTGCTGAACATGGCATGCTCTAAAGCAGATGTTTGATTAAGCTATGCTAAGTCACCAAAAAGGCTAGTTACATGTGCTAAGATATAACACAGTACAACACAATATAAAGTTCTAATACTTCGTCTTCTCTTAACACTGGCCAGTTAGACAGCCCTAGAAGTAAACAGTATATTCTTCCTGAACAGTATAAAATATAGACTTAGATAGACTTAAAATGCTCAGCCATTCTTATTCCTGGCTTTAAGCCATTTATCTGTCCAATTGATAGGCAAAAAATAAACAAAGGTTGTTTATTTTTATGACTACATTTTTACTAGGGCTACTGTTGAATTACATAATCCACAAGAGAGAAATCTTTTTCTCTTGCTTTAAACTGAGTTCCGGGCAAGCTGAATGTTATTTGTTTTAATATTTACAACAGACTTTGCTAAGGGGAACCAAAATATAACTTTTATTTATTCTAGTAGCTCCAAAACACAACTAGGCAATTTAGGGGACCAGACATTAGAGGAAAGACTGCTTCCTGGTGGCACACATATCTAGAAGGCAGTTAATATGGATAGGTCTCAAAGGTAACCTATGAGAAAAAAGTTCTTTCTATTCTAGAAACTTGCCCTACAGGCTTCACCAACCTTTATCCAGGTAGTATGTCCCAGAGTGCTACTTTCATGAGCAAGAAATGGAAGAGGACTTCAGAGGGAAACAATTTTGGAACACAGTGAATACTTAAGAATCATGATATACAGCAGCCAATACAGCTTTTAAGGCAACTCTCAATCCAGAGCTCATTAAACATGAAACAGAACTTTTTTTCATACAACATATATGGAGATTTTTGCATACTATGAAAAAGTCATACACAGCTTTCAAAATTATTTGTCCCAAAATAAACATCTTCTAATTTCATTTGCCATGAACTTTTTGAAGTACTCTCATTTATCATTTTATGGAATTACTATTTCAAGTCCATATTTTGGGGAACATTAAATGTTATCTCCTATACTCCTGTGGTTGATGATTAGCAGACTAAACCTTCTGTACAACAAATATTAACTATTTCTCCTGCATTTTAGGCCTAGCTACCGCTAACTGAAATAAGATAAGGGGACTAAGTAATACGGACTAAGCAGCTTTCAAAACCCTGCTGTGTCTAGCTAGCACTTGGGTGCTGCATTTATCCAGGGTAAGATTTTGCCTTGACTTTGAACTGATTATGGAAAACATAATTTGATCAGTTTTAAAAGTGTACAATAACATTATAGATCTTAAAGTGTTACAACTCAAATAAGAAATTCAGTTTCAGATATATGGGTTGTAAGGACTTTTAATAGGCATTTTTCAAATGGCCAACAGACACATGAAAAAATGCTCAGGATCTCTAGCCATCAGGTAAATGCAAATCAAAACCACAATGAGATTTCACCTCACCCCAGTTAAAGTGGCTCTAATACAGAAATCAACAAACAACAAATGCTGGAGAGGATGTGGGGAAAAGGGTACCCTAACCCACTGTTGGTGGGAATGTAAACTGGTAAAGCCACTATGGAAAACAGTTTGGAGATACCTCAAAAATCTGAACATAGACCTACGATATGATCCAGCCACCCCACTCCTGGGAATTTACCCAAGGGAAATGAACTCAGTAAACAAAACAGCTATTTGCACCTCCATGTTTATTGTAGCTCAATTCACAATAGCTAAGATATGGAATCAACTTAAATGCCCATTAGCCGAAGACTGGATAAAGAAATTGTGGGATATGTACACTATGGAATACAACACAGCAGTAAAAAAAGAATGAAATCTGGTCTTTTGCAATAAAATGCAGCAAGCTGGAAAACTTCATACTTAGTAAAATAACCCAGTCTCAGAGACAAATACCATATGCTCTCCCTGTTTTGGGAGAATTAATAGTGCTCCTAAAATGAAAGTTATAGAAGAAAATTGACTTCTAGAATCAATGACTGGAATAGTCCTTGACCTGACTGTAGAGGGACAGTATATCATTTTTACTTTTTATTTAGTATATTCTTTTTGCTTTGTTTTTTTTTTTTTTTCGCTCTTTTCTTTCCTTTTTCTTTTCTCTTCTTCATACTATATGCTGAACTTCTCATGTAACAGAGTTAACCATATGTATTTTAAGTCAATTGGAAAAAGATCCCAGTTAAAAATAAGAGGGGGAATAAGAGATGAAGGGTGTAGTCTATAACGGTAAAGCAGTATAGTTCTGCACACAGCCATACAGACTTACTTCTAAGGGTACAGCCTAAAAACATGTCATGGGTCTCCAAACCCATTAAAATTGGTGGTTTAAATGCCATCTTAACTGTTAAAATGATCATATTAAATGTCAAAATCAACATATAGATGGGTTTAAGTGTAAAAGTGATCATATAAATAACATCAAGTGCCTAGTAATAATAATAGAATTAAAAAGAAAGGGAAGTCCAATATGGGAAGCAGTCCACACAGCAGACTCCTAGAATGACATTCGCTGTAAATAACACTCTGACCTCAGAATCAACCCTTGAGGCTTCCTGGTCTGGCTGAAAGGCCTGTGAGAGCATTTCTGGCATGGAAAGCCAAGACTCTGTGGCAAAAAATATCCTACATGGAAGATCCCTGTGAGACCTCAGTGGAAAGAAAGGGTCAAAGAAGGATACGCTCTTTTCTGAGGGGAGGAGAGAACATTCACTTTGCTCATGGCCTTGTCCAAATACTGATGGAGTCTATGGTCAAAAAAGGCTTCCATAGCCTTGGCAGCCCATGGCAAGAGCCTTGGGTGATCACTGACATCACAAATAAGAGGGTTAGGGACTGGCACTGTGGCGCACTGGGTTAATGCCCTGGCCTGAAGCGCCAGCATCCCATGTGGGCGTCAGTTAGAGTCCTGGCTGCTCCACTTCCAGTCCAGCTCTCTGCTATGGCCCGGGAGGGCAGTGGAGGATGGCCCAAGTCCTTGGGCCCCTGCACCCACGTGGGAGACCCAGAGGACGCTCCTGGTTCCTGGCTTCGGATCGGCGCAGCTCTGGCCGTTGAGGTCATTTGGGGAGTGAACCATTGGATGGAGGACCTCTCTCTCCCTCCCTCTCTCTGCCTCTCCTCTCTCTCTGTAACTCTGACTTTAAAATAAAATAAATAAATCTTAAAAAAAAAAATAAGAGGGTTAATTGTTAAAGGAACAACAGAAGTCACTGTGCACTTACTCCCCATATAGGACCTCTGTTCCTAATGAGTTGTACTATGAGAATCAACTGTAAATTTTGATCCCAAACTGTACTCTATAAATTATGTGTGCA